CCTCCTCCTCCTCCTCCTCCCCCCCCCGCCTCCTCCTCCTCTCCTCCTCCTCCTCTCCTCCTCCTCCTCCTCCTCTTCCTCCTCCTCCTCCTCCTCCTCCTCCCCCCGAAGGGGCACACCCTCGGCTGCGCAGGGGTGGTCTGGGTCTTTGTATTCTGGTCGCCACGGCCTGTCCCCCGTGCCTTGTGCTCGCGTGTTGTGCCTGTGCCCTGGCCTGTGGCCCGCCCCACATTTTGTCCCGTACCATGCGATCGGCGGTAGGAACGAGGAGGACAAGCACACAGACACAATGATCCGTCGATCCCCAGGAGAATATATGGGAAAGTATGGGAAGTGGGGGGGGAGACCAACACCCAGAAGGTATGAGGAACTCTGGGGGCTCCTGGGATGTGTGTGTGTGTGTTTATGTGTGTGTCCTTGGGCCCCGTCAGGTAGTGAGCCAGCTACCTCCGCGTGGGGGCCATTCGCCAACAGCGAAGGCAAGAGACGCCCCCACGACGGGAAGTTCCCCTCGATTTGCAGGCTCTTGCTTTGCGACAGAGCGCGGGTTGCCAATGTGTGCACGTAGACAGCGATATCCAACTGGACAGAGGGAATCCGCGGCCGTTCCTGAGGATACTTGCAGAGGAGCACCTTGGCAGTAGAGCCGAACGCGCTGAGGTGCACTTGTTGCCCACGTGCGTGCAGGCACACGGCTTTTTCTCTTGTCGTATGTTCCATGTCTTGCCTCGTGTTCTCAGCTGTTTCCTGCCGTTTGCACCGTGCCGCGTTTGTCGTGTCTTGTTCTGTCACTTCCTGGCCTGGCCTGGTCCAGCCTGTATTTTTTTGTTTCCCTCCTCGTTCTGTCCCGTCCACCTCCTCCTGTCTGGCCGTAGGAGGAGGAGAAAGAGGAGGAGGAGGAGAAGGAGGAGGAGGATGAGGAGGAGAAGGAGGGGGAATGGAGCCGGAGACCGGCGGGGAAGGAAAAACGCGAGTGCGAGAAGGGGTGGTGGACGGGGATGCAAACCCCTGGAGAGGGACGGAGCTGTCTCCGGTTGCCATGGTGGCCTCTGGGCCGTCTTGGGCCTCTCTGGAGGATTCTTCAGGCCTTTTGGAGTCGTCTTGCAATTTTCCTGGGACCATCTGACACATTCCTGAGGCCATCGTGTGCCGAACAAGTTGGCTGTCTGGCTGCGTGATCTTGGCTGTCTTTGGCCTGGCCTGGAGCCTCTCTTGCGCTTGCACTTGTTGGCCGTCCTGGGCGCCTCGGGTGCCGTCGTGGCGCCACCTTGGCATCCATGGGCCCGTTCTCGGAAGTCCAGGGTTCTCGTGGTTTCCCCAAGTTCGCCGCCAGCTGAATCTTTGCATGATTTGTCCGCCCGGGCCCGCTCGAGAGCGAACGGTGTGTAACCCAGGCTGTTGTGACCCCGCGGTACTCTAAGTGGGCCTGTCCCTCTACAGGAGAAATATTCAAAGATAGTCAACAAATAGTCTGGGGACGATTTTTCAACTATTTGATTTTTGTTTGAATATTTGTTTAATCTGTTTTATTTTTCGTCCAAAATCGGCCTGTAGGAGGACACGCCCGATTTAACAGTAATCGAGCTCCTGCAAGCGTTGTCAGCTCGGCCTCCTTGGCGTCTCTGGGGCGCGCCTCAGGCGGGGCCTCTTGGGCCCTCTTGGGGGGGTCTCTTGATAGCATCTTGGCGGTCTTGAAGGCCATGTTGGGACAGGGAAGTTTCTGGGGCTGTTCGCGGTTCCCCCCTTCGTGATTGAAATCGTTGAACAATAGAAGGATGTTCAACTATTTCTATCTTCGGGAAAAGCACGCGACAGGGAGATCAAGTAGGATATCCATGACATCAACAACATTACCACCAACAGCAACAGCAGCAACAAACAACAATAGTAATAATAACAATAGTCCGCGTCGCGGAATCCCACTTCAGCCACACACCCAGGGACAGTGAATGACCGTTCGGCCCCCTCACTCTGACTGACTGACATCATTCAACAATACCCTCGGCAGGCGCCTGCTTTTCACAAATGCGACAGCGGGCCCGCCGCCGGCGCCGACTTCTTGTTAAAGCAATGTGGGTGGGTTGCGGGTTGGGTCGCGGGTGGTCGCGGGTGAGTCGCGGGCGGGTCGCAGGCCAACAACAACCAACAACAATTACACCAACAACAACAAACCAACAACAACAACAACAACAACAACAACAACAACATTAATCCGCGTCGCGGAATTCCCATCCAGCCACGCGCCCAGGGGCAGTGAATGACCGTTCGGCCCGATCATTCTGATCACAATGTTCAATGCAGAGAAATCGAAGTGCCTTGGGGTCACTCTACTCGTTATGTGCTTGCGGTACGGTTGCCGCTCTGGGTAAGCGTGAAGATGCACATTACTGCGCTCTTTTTAACATCGCACATGGGTTGCAATGCGTTTCGTTTTTGATGCCAAGCGTGTTGCTAACTTCGAAGTCACGTGCAGCGATGCCGCTATTGTTGCTGCGGGCAGGGCTCTGAACGTATGGGGCTGACATGGGCTTCTCGCTACCTGAGCATCGCGCTGAGCTACCGGACTCCGTCTTGGCCGGCCATCGCCTTTGCATAGTGTGGTCGTTCGCCATCTTCTTCGCGCGAAGCGAGAACGCATTGGCAGCACGCAGTCCCAAGTCTTCATCTTCGCATCGTCTGGCCCACACGTCAGTTCGTGGCCACCCCATCCTGCTGCTGCTGCTCCTTGACCCTCCTGGACGAGGTGGGTGGTGAATGGATTTTCCCGACACCTCTTGGCGCCGAAGTGTCAAAGGGCCCAATTCTCGTTGGCCGCGCCTCGCTCAAGAAGCTTTGATCTTGGCGTCCAAGGACCTTGCATCTTCATCGCGCATCCTCATGAGAAGGGCCGACTGTGAAGTGTCCTGCCGTCGGTTTCGTTCCAGGTTTCCCCCGTGGCTGCTGGAATGCAGAACGTCATCCCATTAGTTGCACCATCAGTTGCGCTTTCCGCCGCCGAATCTTCAAACTCGAAAAAGAAAAAACACAAACATAAACTTCTGGCGCTCCGCGCGGATTTCTTGGCTCCGCGCTGGGCCCCCCTGGCGGCGCCTCCGGCGCCGCCCCTGGCGCGCTCCGCGCGCCAGGGAGGGGGTCCGGCGCAGATCCAAGAAATCCGCGCGGAGCGCCAAAGGTTTATGTTTGTGTGTTTTTTCTTCTAAACACCCCATACCACGTGCGACCAGTTCAGTCCTGCCGGTTTAGTAAGTCTGCTGCCCCGCTCTGCAAACCGTTCTGGCACGGCGGCCCGGGCCTGCGTCTGCCTCTTTTCCGTGTCCTCCGACCGCAAATCCATTTTCTGCGGCCTGTCTGTATCTGGTACGGGGGGATCTGGCACAAGGGTAGGCCCCTCTGTATATAGCTTAAGGAGGAGAAGGAGGCGGATGAGGAGGAAGAGGGGGAAGAGGACAAGCTAGGTGCGCTTGCGTCATATCTGACGCCCTACCCCTCCCTCCCATCCCTTACCATGGCGTAGCTCTCTAGTCGCACGGCCGGATGTCGAGCAGGGCAGTGATCGCGAGAGGCTGCGCGATTCATGGTAGAGCACGGCACGGCATGGCGTAGAAGAGAAGGGCAGAGCGTAGCATGCCATAGCATGGCGTGGCATTGCGCAGTGAAGCATTGCATCACAAAGCATTGCAAGACAACGCATGGCATCGCACAGCGGCGCAGAACGCAACACCGCACAGCATGTCATGGCATTGCGCCGGGTTCATTGGAGGGTAAGTGGATCGTCTTCGAGAGGTCCGGGCCAGTCATGAGTCGCGGCTCCAGGTCTAGCTCCTTGGGCTCCCCGAAAAGCTCCAAGCAAGGCGGGGCTGATGGAGAGCACCCGCTGGCTCTGCTTTCAACATCGCCTTCTCGCAGCAGAAACGGGGCTCCCGCTTGATACTTCCTGGAAACGACGACGAGACGACGGCTTCTGCGGCCCAGAAAATCAACGAATCGACACCGAATGTGTAATCACTTCCGATGTTTTTTTTCGGGGGGCCGTTTTCTAGGACCGAAAACGCCCGCGCTGCAGCGTGAGCACGATTTGGAACAACCAGGGGCGCAGAAATGGAGCCAGCACTTCAGCGGGAGCAACATGTTGAAACACACCTAAGCGAAAACCCAACTCCCGGGAATCCTGTATGTAAAAAACAGTACGCGGAGGAGGGCCGGACATTTTCCGGACGTCATCAGGGGAGAGAGGAGAGGAGTATTCATATTGTTTCATTGTGGAGGAGAGGGAGAAGAAGGACGAGGAGGAGGAGGAGGAGGAGGAGGACAAGGGGCTTTTCGCCTTGGAGTGGTCCTCGCTTGGGGCAGTTATTTCCATTGGGCCTTCGGCCTTCGTTGAAGGGTTCATGCTCTTGACCCACGTTCTCCTGTCCATGTTTCTTTTGGATTCACCCCCCGCGCGCTTGATGCTGGTCATCAGTCGTCTGCCTTATCGTGCTTGTCGTCGCCGCCTCCGTTCTCGTAGTCGTCGCTACCATCGTCGCTTCCGTCGTTGTGCTCTTGACAGACGCGATTCTGTACATGTTTGGACTGTACCAGGGGTGGCGCGAGCATGGTCTCTGTCGCGCGGCATCAAGAGCTTGTGGCTCATGTGTGCGCTGAGGGTCCAAGGAGTATGTCTCGACGCATTCGGCTTTTGCGGCATGATTCGCCGTTTGCCTGCACGGATTTCAGTGGCGATTGGAGAAGGCTGGGCTCCAATCGCCTTTCTGGGTGTCCTTCATTGGGTGGTCTCAGCAAAGGCTGTGGCCAGGCGGAGAAACAGCGCGCGCACGATTTGTATTTCATTGCGTGTGCCTGTGCGTGGTATGCACTTGTGTATGTGTGAGTATTAGTAGGTGTGCTCGTGTAGAATGTGGAAAGTGTAACCTTTGCAACGTGTGAATTTCTGCATGCACATGTGTGTATGCGCATGTTGATGTGTGCTTGCGTGTGCTATTCTTGTCATGCCCGCAGTCTACATTCTGCTGGTTCGCACCGCACTTGTATTGACATGATGCTGTTCATTTGCCAGGACGCCCAAGTATGCGGAAGTACGTGACTGGAGGCTGTTGCTTGCTCGATGTGCGTTGCCACCTTCTGTGATATCCGTAGGGGCGTCGCATCGGTGCTGCATCCCGATCGACCGCAGTGCATCACACCCATTGCGTTCGGTTGACATTGTACATCGCCATGGTCCACCAGGTTCTTGTGGCCCTAGCGAGGTTAGTGGGATGAAGAGAGATGGCGATTGCGGAGGAGGTGTAGCAGGGCGTCGAGGAAGCAGGCGGAGGAGAACGAGGAGCGAGATGAAAAAGCAGGAGATGGGGTGAAGTGCGGGAGGGAAGTCGGAGGGGGTGGTCCCGACGAGGGAGTTGCCCAGGGGCAGGGGAAGCGGACGAGCTCGACGGCGGAGACGGCGACGGCGGCAGCGGAGCCGGATATGGGTTATAAGCATTTGAGAGGGAGGGGTGGGAACGGACAGGGGGGAGAGCGTGCCATTCGAAGAAGGACAAATTACAGAAACATGAACGTTTGGCGCTCAGCGCGGATCTCTTGGATCCGCGCCTGGACCCCCCCATGGCGGCGCCTCCGGCGCCGCCCCTGGCGCGCTCCGCGCGCCAGGGATGGGGGTCCAGCGCAGATCCAAGAAATCCGCGCGGAGCCTCAAAAGTTTATGTATATGTGTTTTTCTTCTGGTTCTGGTCATTATTCGAACGTGCCCGTTGTTCTCGGAGAGCCCACTGACTGAGGAGCATTTTTATTCATTGTTTTGCCGATCGGCGCGGGCCCTCGCACCCCCCCTCCCACCCCCCATGGAGTAGATCTTGGCTGGTTTGGGCGCCTGTTCGAGCAGGTGGAGTCTCCCCCACAGGGCGCCCTGCTGCAAACAGTCGCACTACGCAGGGATCTGGAGCCAAGACCCCCCCCTCCCCCTCTTTCCGCTCGATGTCGAAATGCCGAACAAGAAAACGCTCACTTGCGAAAAATGTTACTGGAGGAAAAAACAAGCATTATCTCTTAAAGGCTATAGGGCTATGGGGCTATAGGGCCATAGGGCTATAGGGCTATGAGGCTCTGGGGCTCTAGGGCTATAGGGCTATAGGGCTGTAGGGCTGTAGGGCTATAGGGCTATAGGGCTGTAGGGCTGTAGGGCACCCGGGCACCAGGGCACCCGGGCACTCGGGCACTCGGGCACCGGGGCACCCTGGCACCCAGGCACCCGGGCGTGCCGCCAAAATGCACGCACGAAACCGACAAATGCACGGGGAATTGACGTCCGAGCGATGGCAAGGCAAGTCAGGGATGGGAAGACGAGGGTTGGGGACGGGACAGAAAGGAGTGGGTGTCATTATTTGCATCTCGGCATCGCTTGAACGCGCGTGTTTTTCTAGGAGATGCTCGTCGAGGAGCATCTCGGATCATCTCGCAGGAAACAAAAAAACGACAAGTGCACTGGGAATGGGCGTCCGAGCGGCGGCAGGGCAAGCCAGGGACGGGACGACGAGGGGGAGGGCGCGCAGGAGGTTCGGATGGGACCCTCGCCCTCGCCCTCTCCTTACCGGTTCTCGCCCTTGTGTCTCACCCCTTGCCTTCAGTCGGGTCTGTCCCTCTACAGGGGGGAATACAAAAAATTGTCACAAATAGTTTGGGGACGATGTGCTTTTACCATTTTTGAGCACTTGTAGGGTATGCTTTGGCTTAAAAAATGTTGGTCAAAGAACGGCCTACAGGGGGGCAGGCCCGACTGAACTCCTGCCCCCCCCCCCTGGCTTTCGTGTGCGGTACGGTCGTCGTCCGTGTCTCTGCCTCCATGGCTCTCTTCCTCTGGCTCCTTCTCCGCCTTCTTCCTTGTCGATGTGGTTATTCGTTGGCCCATTCGGGTGCGTTTCCTTGCTGCTGGCATCAACGACCCCTCCTTTTCGATCTCCCTCTCGCCCCCTCGTCCACCCCATCCCCTCTTCCCTCCCTCTCCAGAAGGCCTCTGGAGGCCTCCTTGGAGGCTTCTGGGGACTTGAGAAGATTGCCCGAGCAGAGCACCCGAGTGGAGGCAAAGCGTGGCCATGCGCACTTTTTAGTATTTTTGTACGAGCTCCTCCTCCTCCTCCTCCTCCTCCTCCTCCTCCCCCTCCTCCTCCTCCTCCCACTCCTCCTCCTCCTCCTTCTCCTCCTCCTCCTCCTCCTCCTCCTCCTCCTCCTCCCACTTCTCCTCGTCCCGTCAGGACTGAAAATGAAAGTGTAGCCGAGGCGAGGGCACGATTCCCGAATGCCTTGTCGGGGCGTCTCGGGCGAAGCGGCTGCCAGACCGCCTCTGGAGCCGGGCAGGGCGTCGTCGTGAAGGAGCGCCGGAGCTCCGAGCGGGGGGCCACGGGAAGTGTGCGCACGCCAGAACCAGTCAACAACCTGGAGGAAGTCGCAGGTGACCGGCCTCTTGGGACCCTTGGGAGCGCTCTGAGGGGGGCCTCTTGGGAGCCTCTTTGGGCCGTCCTGGGACCATCTTGCTTGGGCGCATTGGAGCACTCTTGGGCCGTCTCGGAGGCCTCTTGTATCGTCTCGGGGGCACTTTCGTACATGATTGGGATTTCAAAAGCGCGAATATTGCTTACTTTACGAGGGGTTCTGATTTCGGGGACGCGACAAACGCGTAATTTACCAGGGATCTTGGCTTCGGGAACGCAAGCATTGCATATTTTACAAGAGAGGGTATCGCCTCGGAGACGCCACTATGGTATAATTCATAAAGAATTACATTCTCGGGAGCGCGAGCACTGCGTCATTTGCAAGGGTTCCTCGGGGACGCGACCGTGGTGTAATTTACAGTGGGAAATGGCCGCGGGGGCGCGAACATGGCGTAGTGTACAAGGGACTACGGCTCCGGGGGCGCAGATCTCATGTCGTTTTACGTGTCCCAGGGCCCCTCGGAAGTTCGGAGAAACCCCCCCAGGTGGTGGCAACTTCGCTCGGCATCGCTCGGACGTGTGGTTTTCTGTTTCCCGGCAAGGACCATCGGAGCATTTGAGGTACAGTCGGGGCGTTGACCTAAGGAACCCTAAATAAGGAACGAGGCCCCTTTTTTCCATAAGTGAAACTTCGATTTCTTATCGAAAACATAAGGAAAACCTTAGGCAAGCTGTGAAACACTTAAGGAACGCGGAGCCCCTCCCCAACAAAAGGGTTCCTTCTTCAGGGCCCCGACTGTAACCTCGCGAAACATACACGCACGGAGCCGAACCATGCACGGGGCACGGACGTCCGAGCGATGGCGAGTTGGGCACTCTTCGGCTCCCCCCCCCTCGCGCGGGCTTCCACAGCTCACAGCAGGGGAAGCAGAGCACAGAGCTGTAACACCGGAGACTGGGCACTGGAAGTGGAGCAGGGGGGCACCGAGCCTGACCCGCGGCGCTGTGTGGCCCCACAACGGGGCCGGCGGGCCACTGCTATCGGGGGTGGACAGAACCCTTAACAGTGACACGTCGATTAGTGAATTGTCTGTTTTCGGTTCTCGAGAGGGCGCCGTGGCCGTTCTTTTCCAGGCTTGCGCCCGCTAGGTTTGGGCTTCAGGTCGTTTTCACCAAACCACGTTTTACTAGAGGGGGGTCTGTCCATCCCCGATACTGAGAACCTTCTAGCGACGTGCTTTTCGGGCAGAAGGCTGCCAAAGCGCGAATCGGCAGCGAATAGGGGGGGGGCAAGCGAGGAGGAGAAGGCCTTCTCAGGAGGCGGCGGGGCTTCGCAACCCCTTCTCACTTCTCCCCCTCGCTCGCCACCGAGTGAAAGCACCTCTGATCCTCATCGGCTGTCGCCCCGCCAGGCTGGGCCTGGTCCACAGGGCGATGCAGGCATGGCGGCCACGCCTCTCGCGCGCGCGACCTCTCTTGTGTGGGACTTGCCTCGCCAGCGCTGTTGAACACAAGCAGTAGAAGGATATTGCGACAGCTACGTCCCGCTGACATGGCGCAGTGGCAGGGAGAGATTTGCTGATCTGCTTCAGATACCAGCATCCGCAGGCATCGTGCTGCATATATGTCCTGGGCTACGTGATCCTCTACAACGGGAAACACTTGAAGGTCAGCCCTTTCATGTGATGTATACGTTCGACTATTATATGACACGACGAGGCTCAAATCACAGTGATACACAGATCTCCGCACATTCGCGTTATTTCGAAGGGCTGAGCAGGACAGTCGTGTCATACGAGCTCCGAGGGAAGGATCGTTTAAGGTTCGCCACGTGTGCTGTTTTCTTGTTCCGTTTTGAGTGATACACTTATCGAGAGACCCTTTCACGTGTTCTGGCTGGCTGGCAGCGAATTGAGGAAGCGTGGGATAAGGAAGCCAAGCAGATTGAGCGTGTCCCCGCGGAGAGGGAGCGGAAGATGTTTTGGATTGGATTGCGTCGCCGATTATGATCGGAATTTGTGGGCAGAGGCGGGCACGCAGCTCGCAGAATATCAGTGATACGAGCAACAAGTCTACAGTGCACCAGTAAGCAGAAGGCGCAGTACCAGTCAGGCAGACTAGCGAGCTGTGTCTTCACGTGTCGGGAACTGGGAGGCGATACTCGTTCGATTCTGTTTCGACCCGTTTCTGGGTGTTCGAGACTTTTTTGGGGATGTGGTCCTGAAGTGCGATGGGAGCAACATAAAAGGGATGTTGGACTTGAGATCCAGACGTGCGAGTGACCTTTCGACACAGTGGCCACCGGTGCGCGGTTTTCCAGGGGCGCGTGGGCCAAGCACGCGGGCCGTCGCTGTCCCATCGCACGCAGCGATCGGTACGCCGCGCACCCGAGGTCACGGTTGCCTAGGGTCACTCTGGCGTGTAGCCGAGGTGTGGGCGGCAGATTATGTGGTTTCAGGGAGCGTGTTGCATGCCCATGCATATTACGGCTGTTGTTCGAAGAGGAAAAACAGCAGTACGTACCATAGTGTTTTGGCGCTCCGTGTGGAGCGCCAACAGTTTATGGTTATGGCGTGTTGGTTCTTCTTCCAGACGTGGCATCTCGATGCAGGCGCGAATTTCGCGTCAGCTTCAGTTCGCCTAGTAGCTGTCTTGCGCGCCGTGGCAGCCGTTCGCAGGAAGTGCCAGTCTCGGGGTACGTCCGTCTGGACATCGAGACGCCGACGAAGGTCCCCAGTCTTGACTGACTGCATTAGCATTGTGTGGGCATTGACGTTCCTGCAACAATGCAGCTTGAGCGTGGTAGTGGTTTGCAGTAGCCATTCCTGCACGAGTCTTATGGAGATGAGCTTCGTCAGAGTGCTTGGCTTGTGCGCGTGTGTGCAGCACTTCTATTGCCCATCTTGCTCGTCTTTCCACGGACTGGCCAACGCAGCACATTGTTGGCTAGGCAGATCGCCTTTTCGGGGGACAAGGGTCAAGCAGTTGACGGTGGACGATGGCGATAGCAGTTGCAAGTTTTTTTTATTGCACGGAGGTGCCTTTCACACTGAACTCTACTTGTCCATCGCGTGTCATGTATGTGATGCCGTTACCTTCCATGTTATTCCGTGCCTTGTTTCGAAGGACGACTGCTCCATCTACGAAGCGTCCTGCGAGTTGGACTTGCGGCCGTTGTCAGAACTCCCGTACTGCACTCAGGGCAAGGAATTCAACGACGATGGACAGAGGCGTCGCATATATATATATATATATATATATACATACAGCAGCGGATGCTCAGCATTTCATGTAAACTCGTCTCTGGAAATGGGATACATTTCTCTATAGGGGACTGCACGAGCGTTGTGCGTTGCACGCGCTGCGTGCGCAGTGGTCTGTGCGCCATTCCGACGAGTGAGCGTGCTTGTTCGTGTGCGTGTGCGTGCCGCTATGATGTCAGCCCGATTCGATGTTCATTACTGCCCGACCCGATTTTCAGTATCGTTTAACCGACCCCCATCCCCGTCCTCATCCCCCCTTCGAGACCCCCACCAAATTACCACCCCAGTTGGGGATACGCCCCTCGAAACCAGGAGGGCACGGCCTATATCCCCATCCAGGGAGTTACATCGGCCAGTGGGGCCCAGGCCACGCCGCTGGGCATGGGGGTCGGATTCACGATGCTCAGATGTCTATCCTCCTCCTCCTCCTCTTCCGCCTCCTCCTCCTCTTCCTCCTCCTCTCTCCTCCTCCTCCTCTCCCTCCTCCTCCTCCTCCTCCTCCTCCTCCTCCTCCTCCTCCTCCTCCTCCTCCTCCTCCCACCGATCACTGTTCCTCGCCCGCGAGGGCCTCATCGTGGGGCCTCTGGCGGCCGCCGAGGGTCTCCGAAGGCGGCCGCCGGAGGACCGGGCCTCGGACACACGGCCCCTGCGCGATCGGGCTCCAGCACGACGCCGCCGCCGCGCGAGCGCCCAGCTCGAGGAGACCTGCGCGCCACTGGGCGGCGTCTAAGGACTGCGCGGCTCCTCCAAGGGCGCCATCGGGTTCCAGCACAGAGGCGCCTGGCGGCCCCGGCGCGGTCGGGCTCCAGCGCGACGCCGCCGCCGCGCGAGCGCCCAGCTCGAGGAGACCGGCGCGCCACTGCGCGGCGTCTCTGAGGGCAGGCCCCCCCGGGCTCCCAGAAAGAAGCGCTGGGCTCCGCCCTGCCGCCCGCCGGCGGCTGCGGCGTGCTCGGGCGGGGATGCGTCGAGAATCTCTGACAAGGGGTCCACGTGTGCAGCCGACCCCCTGCCCCCCTCGGTTTCTGCGGGGGATGGTGGGGTTCGCTGCGCTCGGGAGCTCCCGAGCGAAAGTGAGCCCCGCCCTCCCCCTCAGAAATCGTGGGGGGCAGGGGTGGGGTTCGCATGTGGCTTCCTGTCTGAACTCTGGCGGTCCTGGAGGATGTATCAATCGGGCGCCGCGGCCTTCTCGGAGCGCTCCAGAACGCTCCGAGAGCGTTCCAGGCAGGCGGCTACCCCAGACAACACGATTGCATATTAGTGGGCAGGTGTTTTCTTGCTCCCATGCCGGAACGCCGAAGCCAACAATACGATTTACCTCAACTCGGACTACAAATTTGTATCTCTACACATGCTCTTCAAAATGTTAAGCACCAACACAGACTGCCGCCAACGACCGACCAGGCAAAGCACCAACCAGGAACATAGACGCACCGACCCCAACGGGTATCGACATCACCTGGGCTCCTAGCTGCAACGCGAATTTATGCCAATTTACCTGGACGATCTCAACAAATTGCCCAGCTACCTGCGGCAAGTCCCGCCACCGTGCCAGTCCAACATTCGGTTGGCGACGTTGCGAGGGGGCATGGGAGGCCGTCACGAGTGACACCGCGTGTCCCTAGGCTCGGGAGAGCCGTGATGCGGATTATGAGGGTGATGAGGGTGATGATGATGTTGATGTTGATGATGGTGGTGGTGATGAGGATGGCGACAGCGATGATGACGACGATGTTGATGAAGCTGATTATGATGATGCTCCTGATGCTAATGCTGATGATGGCGGTGAGATGGTGGTGATGCCGATATTGATGATGATGTTGATGATGATGATGGTGGTGATGGTGATGATGATGACGAGGATGGAATGGTGATGATGATGGGGATGCTGATGAGGATGATGACGGTGATGGTGATGGTGATGGTGTTGACGATGGTGATGGTGTTGGCAGTGATGATGCTGCTGATGATGATACTGATGATGATGAGTTTGACGATGATGAGTATGATGTTGTTTTTGATGATGTTGATGATGATGATGCTGCTGATGATGATGATTATTATCCGTAAGGGCTTCGCCCCCTGCCGCCGGCCCCCTCTCTCGGAGAATGGGCCATGGAAGAGCAGGTTTTGGACCCTGACCCCGCGGATCTGCGTGAGGGGTGGCACCGAATTTCAGAAATGTGGCAAATCCCATGTGTTTTTGGACCCTGACCCCGCGGATCTGCGTGAGGGGTGGCACCGAATTTCAGAAATGTGGCAAATCCCATGTGTTTTTGGACCCTGACCCCGCGGATCTGCGTGAGGGGTGGCACCGAATTTCAGAAATGTGGCAAATCCCCTGTGTTTTTGGACCCTGACCCCGCGGATCTGCGTGAGGGGTGGCACCGAATTTCAGAAATGTGGCAAATCCCCTGTGTTTTTGGACCCTGACCCCGCGGATCTGCGTGAGGGGTGGCACCGAATTTCAGAAATGTGGCAAATCCCCTGTGTTTTTGGACCCTGACCCCGCGGATCTGCGTGAGGGGTGGCACCGAATTTCAGAAATGTGGCAAATCCCCTGTGTTTTTGGACCCTGACCCCGCGGATCTGCGTGAGGGGTGGCACCGAATTTCAGAAATGTGGCAAATCCCATGTGTTTTTGGACCCTGACCCCGCGGATCTGCGTGAGGGGTTTCGATTTTGAGCCCCCCCAGCAATTCAGACAACGCGCCCAGGTGGTGCTACAAATCTGGTTTGGGCCTCCCTCCCCTCGCGCGGTCAATTCACTAGTTACAGTAACCAGCAAGAAGCAGAACTGTAACACTGGAAACTACAAACTACAACTGGTACAGGAAACTGCGAATCACGGGCCTACAGCCTGGTGGCCCCACAAGGGGGCCGGCGGATCCTCGACGTCAGGACCAACTGCAAAACGATGGCGTACCAAAAATGAGGAGGTTTCAAATGGTCCGTCGCAGAGAGCCTCGGATCTCGCATTGCCCCGCAGCAGGGCCTGTCGTCTAGGGTGCTTCGCAGGGAGGCTTCCTGCACAGCGCATGCCTAGCAATCTCGGGATTCGACGTCAATTGAACATAAACAACTGTTGCTTCATCATCGGCGGCTGTATCGACTGTGTCTAGAGCGGACGAGGCCTCCACCTCGCGAAATTCCTTTGCATGCGCTGGCACGGTAGGAGGATGCGGTTGAGGCTCAAGAGGAGGGGTGATGTAAGAAGCAGATATTGCTCTGCTGCTAGATGGGAGGCCTTCGCCTCGAACGAAACTTGCGCTGCGGCGGGTATCATCTCTGCGAATCACTGCTCTGGAGTGGCTAGTGCCATCTCTGTGAATCGCTGCTCTGGCCTGGCTGGTACCACCTAGTTGACTCACTGCTCTTGCCTGGCTGGTAGCATCTCGTCGAATCACTGCTCGAGCGTCTCCAGCC